AAATTGAGAATTATACTTTGTGGCATAGCGGGTTACTAGTGGAGGTATGCTCTCTCTTGTGTTGTATTTCATCAACAGCATATTGTTGAAAAGATTGTAGTTGAGTAGCAGATAGATGTGTTATATTCATAATTCAGATCGGTAACACTTCTATGAAGAGCAAACACGCCGACATGCATGAATATAAGACGCTATTAGAATCCGTAACAGGTACTCCCTCTGGTTTCAAATACAAGACCACTATCGACATTACATTTTGCAGCTATACAAGGTCACTATCTCTTCCCAAGAAGAATTGATTATAATTTTGCCTCGTACGATGGTGCTTATTAACAAAAATGTTGCATGCAGCCATAGGAAAGGATGAACCACGTGCAACATGTTTAATTACTCGGGGACATGAGAGGGTTTCCACATAATTAATCATGCTATTTATTAGTTAGCCTTGTTTTCTTGGTGTTTGAAAAATTAGGTAGTACTACCTCTGTCTTGGTTTATTGGTCTCTTCATATTTTGTGCCAATATTTTACCATAGATTTAATTATCAAAATGTTAATGCATGTCATGAAAAATTATATGGTTTGATTCATATTTGAATATAGTTTCCTATATTTTTGCTATGTATAACTTATATTTTATTAGATAAAAGTATGGTCAAAATATGATCCTAAATACTAGGGGGCTAATAAACCAGAGGTAGTAGTGGGCTTGTGCACAAAAGTGGGTGGAGTATATAGATTCTAATGATACTAGTATTGTATGATATTTAGCTCTGTAAAACTTAGTCAAACATACAGTTGTTTGATTATTCTGAAAATCAATACACCATATATTTTGCAAGTGAGGGGCGGGTATATTTATATAGTAAGACATTAATTATCAAAACCTTTGCTGGGCAGATGTGGTTTGGTTTGATATTGTTAACTGCATGCACCCTTCCAACTATTTATGTACCTGTAAAAAGTACTACCCACAAAGAACCATGAAATAACACATATATTTTTTCTTTCGCAAATTGTGTTACGAAATACGGCAACATATGTTGATGAGAGAGTGTCCATATCTACTTTTTCCGCAACCTTCCAAGCATTTGTTTCACTTTAGCTAGCTTTCACGAAACTTCAACACAAAGTATGCATTTATCTGTAGATTTTGAGTGGTACTATAGAAGACCGATCAGGTCTACATGGTATTCTCTCTTGCGCACGATAGCTAAAGCGAGACACATCTAGATAATTATATGTTTTTCATCAAAAAAATCATGATATATTTTGCAACAATCCAGCTAGACAGCACGTAGTAGTACCTGCAAGATCTCTTGTTACATGGTCGCCCAATCACATGCAAGGGCGAGAATCTCCAACCAAGAAGCAACAGACGAGAAAAGAAGAAAAGCACTCGATCGCAGTCACATGCAGAGGGCAGGCAGGGCCACGCCAGGTCCGGTGGGTAGAGAGAGAGAGAGAGAGAGTAACGAAAGGAAATGCGAGGAAACAGAGGAGATAGAGAGAGAGAAAGAGAGCGCGACTATTGCCTTCGAAAGGAAGAGAGAGAAACCACTGATCCGCCCTTAAGTCGGATCCTTGTCGCCACCCGCTAGGCTCGCCGACAGCAAGGTACACGGGCCCACCGTCCGCATGCATACCATCAACACACTTGCAGACAAGTTGAACAAATTTGCTACAGGTATCTCCCCACTGTGCTCGTACGGGACAGAGGCAACCTTGGATCGGCTATTCTACGATTTATGCTTTATACACGCTGGGAAAATTATGTTTGATATTTTTAGCATGTAAAAGTCCATCTGGCCAAATATAATGCTCGATTTGAACAACCCATGATTACTAAATATAACAAGCTAGCCAATAAGTCACACATTATTTTCGATTGACTCCACAGTTATTTTGGAACTAAAATAGTTAATTGCACCTCATAAAATAACATCCCATAAGGCGTCATAGTATTGGTCACCTAACCACATCTGAACTAAGCCACTAAACGCAAAGAACCTTATGAGAATCATTGAAATTTCTCTACTTTGTAATTGTACTCTTCCGAATTCTACACAATAGATAGATCGGTATGCATGATTACTTAGAGTTACACTCCTTTCACAACGCCATCCC